TAAACGATTATTGAACTTAATTTTTAAAAATCGATTAATTCCTATTTTTAATTAGAAAAGTGGTTTTAGCAGCTTATGGGGTCGATTTATCAAGTCAACATGGAGGGTCACTTTTGAAAATACCATTGTTCAACTCAATAAATTTTTTAATATCTTCATATGTTATGTGAGACACCATGGAATGTAAACGGCTGTTTATTTTGTTTGGTTTAAATAATTTTTTCGGCTGAGAAATTGCAAAATTTTCTGTGTTTAAGCAGTCCTGTAATAATATTTTTTATTAAATACAGATACACTTTACCTCACTGCGGGCTCTGCTGCCGCCGTGAGTGAGTTGTTGTATCGTTTTTTTTACAGCGGCTCGTGATGAATAATATCGATCACTGTAGAAATACAAAATATTCCGAAAACCAAATTTGATATATACTTGCCCAAGGTAAGATATTTTATATTATTATATTTATATTATTTTTTTTATTATCACAGAGATTTTTATGTAAATATAACTTATACGTCGTGGACTTTATGGAGTGACCGGAAGGTGTATAGTGTGTGTGACCTGAAGGTGTAGTGTGCGTGTGCGTGTGCGTGTGCGTGTCGTGTGCGTGTGCGTGTCGTGTGGTGTGCGTGTGCCGTGTCCGTGTCCGTGTCCGTGTCCGTGTCCCCCGTGTGTCGTGTGTCGTGTGTCGTGTGTCGTGTGTCGTGTGTCGTGTGTGCGTGTGTCTGTGTGTGTGTGTGTGTGTGTGTGTGTGTGTGTGTGTGTGTGTGTGTGTGTGTGACTGTCTCGTTGGTATAGTGGTTGTAGTAGTGCAACTGCTGATCATGAGTCCTGGGTTCGATTCCCGGGTCGGGCCAAAAAATTAATTATTGGGTTTTTCCGTCAAGAAATTCTCAGAAAGTTGGCGGTGTCCCACCCCCGTGCCTCGGAAAGCATGTAAAGCCGTTGGTCCTGCGCCTGATCTCTCTCGGGTCGTGTCGGTTTACTGTCCCAATTATTATTTTCGTATTTTTAACACTCCGAACTGTCCTTTGTTTACAATAATGTTCTCGACGCTGACCGTAATCTCGGGTCGATGGACCATAAGATGTTAGCGTTAGGGTCTATTTTTGTTTGCAGGCGCGGAGTAAAAGAAAACTATGTGTTGGTTGCACTGGTGTTTAATTGCTACTGGTCGCTTTCTTACTTACAATTGACACCTGTTATAGGTGACTTTAATGTTAAATTTAAGATTAGTATGTGTTATGTAATAGACTAAAATTATGTATGTTTCCCTTGAAGATAAAATAAATAAATAAAAATTCACGGATAATGTGGCAGGGGTCGCCTTGGTATTGTTGTTCCGTTTGCCCCGAGCAGTTTTTGTCGCGAGCAGAATGGTGCTTCCTCCCCCCCCCCCCCAGAATAGCAGCCTGTGCACCCACGCTTAGGAAGAGTAGGATAACTTGGTCGTGGATGGTCAGCGAGGGATTCTCCGTCACCATGAATGCTGGTTCCCTCCTAGGGTAGTTCTTCACTTAATTCCTCTCCGGCCACCTGCACTCACCAAGCGACACGCAGAGATAACTCTCTACTTCACGCTGGAATTCTGTGAGGTCGTGGTATTACCCCAGAAAGGCGAAGGTGGGAAACTATACTATGAGAAGGTAGCGGAATCTTCCAGATAACAAAATAATTGAAAGTCCTTTCCCAGACTTTGAGCTAATATTGTGCCATTGTATACATATGGCTCATACTCACCACACAAAATAAGCGGAATAGGGAACGCAAAACAGAAAACAATATATATTTTGTTTCTATTCACAAAGTCACCTATTACTGTCAAAAAGAGTTTAGTTAATGGGGCGAGCTTTCAGTTTTCAACATTACGGTTATAATATTAAAGAGAAGAAAATCTTGATTTTGATTAGCAAGGCTTATAATATGTTGTGTTCGGAATAGTTTTGTGTGGACGCTGTCGCGTTACGAAATTAAGCCTAAATCGAAGGTTCCAAACGAAAACCACCTCCATACAGAGCGTTGACCGCTCACTGGGTTGAACAACTCTCTCGGCAGGAAATCTCCCATATTTCTTCCGTGAACATTTTTTAGACACGTTGGTACGTAGCTATGAATTATGACACACAAAATGAATACAGGCTCTACAAAATAAAATGTTTATAGAGACAAAAACAGTATACAACATGACTGTAGTTACGTTTACCTTACTTCTGTTTCCCTATTTAAACAGTAAACCTTTATGATATTTTATATAAAATAATATATTCTCTTCAAAACTGTGAATAAAATGAATAATTTATAAGTGACACCCGTTGTTTGTGTAGCATGTATTAAATTTATTCAGAATGCTGCGAAATTATACCCTGACATAAAATTCGAAGTATAATCCTTTGACTTTTATAAAAGGATAAAAGCTTTTAAAATAAAGATTTTTTGATAAAAATAGAGGTAGCGGTATTGAATGTGTATTTTTCTACTTATGTCACCTGGTGTTACTGGACCCTCTCACATATTTCTGCATCTAAGTTCAAATCTAGTATTTGAACTAACACGTTTTGGTTTGAAAGGTAGGTATAAAAAGTCAGTATATGTAGAGGCTGCAAGACATTCCAAATTCTTTGTTTGAAGATGACTGCAGGTGTCCAGAGATTGCAGTAGTACCAGTCCATAGACCACTCTGCACCATGAGTACGCTTGACAGTTTAGTTTAAACTAAAACAAAGTTGTAATGCAGCTGAGTGGTAATCCACACTAAAACCAAGTATAAACAAACATGATATTCATAAGAATGATTATTTTGTACAGCAGTTTTGTTGCGAAATAATAATAGTTGTCTAAACATAACGTGTGGTTTGAGTTATCATCAAACATTTTATTGCACTAAAATTCAGAAAGTTCACCAAAACGTTTCGTAACTACGCGATCAATAACGCTGGTTGAAAATATCTATTCATGGATGGTAAAAAACTAAAGCAGAATTAGCGGTAAGTTGCGACGTTAATTATTCTTTACTTTGTAATTTTATTTATAAAGAAAAATTAAGATTTTGCCTGTAATATGGTAGTGGCGCAAGAATTTCATCGCCCTGTCTAGCCCTATCCCTATCCTGTGCTTTTGATAAATAACGGCTTAAGGCAATATTAGAAAGACCTTACATTTACGGCTGCAAAATACCTAGTACGGCGGAAGGGTTTTGTAACACTATATTTTAACTAACTTCAACAACGAAAAGAAAAATGATTTAACGCCTATGTTTTTATGAATGTTCTTCGATTTCTCAGAAACGGCTGAAACGATGATGCTGGACCACGGCTGGAGTAATTAATTCCACGATCTTTATATGTTATATACTCTTAAGACGAAATTACCCGTGTGATATTGCTTAGTCCACTCAAAAGCGTAAAACAATTAAACTTATATTAAAATTAAAAGCCGACTTTAAAATCTAAAAGAATAAAACTATTTGTAAACAATGAAATACCCCATAATAACTTCTGAAGTCGAGGATTTAATTGTTTAATACATATTGTCTTAGCACCGATTGCATACCAACAAGATTACTAACAGAAAAGTATAATATTTATCTTTTCCATTACGCAGACCACTACATCTTGCATGTTCATATTTTTCTACGTCAGCACGTAAAAGTGCATAGCAGAACAGGGGTTTATCTAGTAGAATGGTTATGATTTATAATTTGAAACATATATTTATGCTTCATGTACCTATATGAATGATTACACTTTACGCGGTAAAGCCTAACTGCAGCTATAATATTGCTGCAGCGCCAATGGGTCGGTCACATAATATAAAAGGTGTTTCGTACGGTGTAACAGAGTTTCGGAAACCCTTTCACTGGTAACGGATCATACCATCTTAGTTCTCATGGATAACAATGCATCTACCTTTTGATTCATAATCGAGGATAGATGAAGGTGTCTTTGGACGCCAGCATCCTTTTATCAAGCTGTCGTCGCCATGATGACGACGACGTTGTTTACATTATTATTTGATTTTCTATAATGCATTAAAAATGAACGTCCCTTTCATATTTATTCATAACAATTTTGCTTCGTGTAATAGTTGTTTTTTCTACAAATTCTCCTCCGGCGGATCCCACGTGAAAAATAATTATGAGGCGCCCAACTTATCCTACGGACACGTGTCATCTATCCACGGCTGCGGCACAGTGTAGTTAGGGCTTAGCTATGTTTCACCAATATAGTATAACGTTGTCGCAATTGGTTATAATTTTAATTTCTCGTAAAAATATTATTTTTCGCATTCATGTTTCTAAATAATTAATTTGCGTATGTCAATTTTTTTGTTTTGGAAGTCAATTCCTTTTCAAATGGTTCTCAATGACTCTATACGACCATTGTCCAAGTCGGTATCTACTAAACTTATTCGTGACTTCGACACAGTGGGATCCATAGAAATAATAAAAAAATGACCTGTTTAATACATGATTCATGTAATGTATGCAACTCTAAAAATAAAAATTTAAATAAATATATAACAAATTAAAAAAGGTAAATGTCCTATTTTTTAAATATTTTTACCGATTATTCACATCACATGAATTCAACATCAAATCAATTCAAATCATTCAAACACCAAGGTCAACCTCATCCCTTTGACGCATTATTTCTTTAAGCTCTGTCAGTACAAATAAATCCCAAAGCGGCGTACCTGCTATTTCTGCTAAAGGATTTCGAGAATTAGCTTGAAACACCCAGTTGTCGCCAACAGGTAGTAATTGTCTGAAGTCTCCAACTACTATTATTAAATTTCCAGAAAAGAAGGTAGAAGAATGACATATTTGCTGAAATCTACGATTTATTTGATGGAATGTCCTGGATCCTAGCATTGAAATTTCATCAATTACAATTAAACGTAGTTTTGCTAGTTTTGTGGCCAGAGTATTGGCCACACTTGGCGACAGCTCTAGTAAAATATTGCCCGCTTGACACACTGGAAGTCCAAGTGCGCTATGGATTGTTTACCCTCCTATTCCGAATGCAGCTTTACCGGTAAAGGCTGTTAAAAGTATTTTTAATTCATTGGGATTACTACCAGCTTCTCTGTTAAATAAGAGAGTTAGGCATTGATAAATTGCTTTAATCAGAACACTTTTGCCAACGCCAGCCCCACCACTGATAAATAAATATAGTGGATGTGGAGAAGTAATGGAAAAGTGTTGACAAATATGAAATAACGTGTCTCTTTGAGCATCATTTAGTTTTCTAGTTAGAATCAAAAAATCGTCATGGGACAAGAGAGGTGGTTGCGCAATGAAAGTTGAGGGGTCACCACACAATTGCGGCCCGGGATTTCCGCCCGGAATGAGGTCTTCTGCTATATCTACTGTTTTTGTCTCAAATTCAAAGCCTTCAAATACATCCACGTTGACTCCTCTTCCTTGCAAATCTTCTTCTTCGTTTATTAATTCTAAATTTCTTATTTCTGTTAGCAATGTTTCAAACATTACAGCATCACCTAGTTTATTGAATTGTTTACTTTCGGCCTTTATTCTTTCTTTATACTCATCAAATATGTCCTTTATATTAATGTTGGGATTTAGTAATTCTTCCTCCTCGCTTCGCTAAGGGATGTATAGCATTATCTGTTCCCTATAGAAATTGTCTGGATCATCAATGTAACTGTACCGGCGAAATCGTATTACTCGAGTTTTAGTTCTTTTCCGTATGTACCCTAAATTATCTTGCAAAGGAATCCAATTCCCTTACGCTTCAACTTCTTCAACAGCCTGGGAACAATCAATTGCTTGAGAACTGTCATTGAGAGTTTCTATTGAACTAGCTGAATGAGTTTTTTTGGAATAGGTGTAATATGCTACAAAATGGGAAAGACTTATGTTTTCTAACAATAGCGGTCGTTTTGAATAATAATCAATAATACCCTTTTGGAATATATCGGAAGAATCAGGTTCGAGGCTTTGCAATTGAAGGTAACTTTTTAAAATATGCACTCGCTCTTATGGCAAACTAGTGTTTATGTACATTACAGCTTCACTAGCTTGTGACAGCGGTAAACCAGTCAGTACATAGATTTCCTCTTGAGCAGAGATCTCACTAGAATTTAAGAATACTTACATTAGATACTATTCTTAATGAATCTTTAACACTTTTATTTCCTTTTTTAGCTTCGTCGAAAGCTTCACGCAAAAGACGAGACATCCTTCGGTCAGCCTTGTTAATATAGTCAACAATATATACTGCGCACGCAAACGGGTCTAATATGAATTGGATGTTCATGTTAGCTTTGTGCAAAGCTAAGATTTTTTACTAAAAGGATTAATAAATACATCCTGAGTTCTGCGTTGAAGGACTACCGTAGGTCATTTTAAGATACTTCTAATAGCAAATATGTAATCTTCATAACTAACTCTAATCCAATCCAAAAAATCAACGAAAGTGTATATTCCTGCAGGAATATTTTGTATTTTTTTGGCAGATGTCTTTGTTTTGCCAGTTGTTTTGACTTTTTGAACTCTGGATCGTCTTTTGAAAGTTCTATTAATACTTTTGTTTTAATCCATGGGGAAAAATGGTATTCCAAAGCGACACAGTCTATCTGATGTTGGCCGGCATGTATGTGTATGTTTGTGTAGTTGTAGACGTCTAAGTTCATCAGGTACTTCAGTGCTGTTACAGGAAATAATATTGTCAACAAATTTGGAAATATCATGAGTAGATGCTGTATCACCAGGTACAAGAGTGGGCGCTTCGTCTAACCATAACATCATATGAGCATGAGGTGATCTTCTATGCTGAAACTCAATGCGATAATAAAAGTGAGTGATTTTATAATTTAAGAAAGGTCCAGATGAACAGGACCAGGTTTTTTGAATTTCTTTTTATTTTATTTCAAAATATGTGGCGCAAATGAACGAATCGGATTGTATAAGGCGAGTTTTTGTATCGTATGTCAAGTTTTCCGCTGCAAGATCAGTAAGTTTTTTCTTATCAACTACTTCACTAAGCAAAATTAATAATTGAATCCATTGCATTTCAGCTACAGATATAGTTAAAAATGAAGTGGGAACACCGAACTATCTAACCATTGACAACAACTTTTATTTTTCACTTTCCCAGTGAGCAGGAGAATTTCTAATTCCTCCAAGAACACGATACCCATCGTCATGTTGAATTAAATTGTCAACAAAATTATTTTGAAGCACATTACATGCAAATACAGGGGCACCTCTGACAGTTTTCTTGCGTAAACAGGTCGTAACATTATTTTGACGGCAATAGTCTGTTGCTTTTTTAGTGCAGTAAATAGGTAATCAGGTCTTACAGCTCGCCTGTCATTTCTGGAAATTTCTGAACGTGTGACTTCAGAATGATTTAAGTTCACGAGGTATTTTCGCTCAATAGCGCAATGTACTTTTATGAAGGCTAGCTCTTCCAGATGTCGATCAAAAAGCAAGAAAATTGGCCTTTCACCTTCTCCTGGAGCCATAACTATTGTTAGGTCTTGGTTTTCATCTAACAGAATTTCTGTACCACCAGGATTTTCATCAGGGATCTCATCAACATTGCTCTCTTGCTCAGATGAACTACAGGTACATTCGACAGTGTCTTCAGGTTCATTATTTGTTCATGAACCTTCAAGTTCTATACCATATATCATCACACACATTACTAAATATTCCGCTGCTCTCCGTATGATTTCCGGGCGGACTTGTTCTTTTCGACCATGTTTATAACAGAATTTAGGCTTCAACTCTACAGTGATGACATTTTCATCATTTATCGAACGAGGCAAAGCTTTTACCAGCTTGCAAGCTAATTTTTACAGGTACATTAATAACATTTCCTGATAAACCATGCCGATATCCTAATCCCTGGCCTCTACGAACTATTTTCAAAAATACGTGACGAGGACTTACTAATCTCTCCTCCATTGAAGTTAATTCATTCAAAACATCAATATCTGGAAACTTTAATCCATTAGCTATTGCCAATCGTGGCATTCGCCCTTGAGTTATATATTTAGCACACGTACAGCAAAACTCCGCAGATTCATCACAAGGATTTAAATTAAATACACTTAATGTGAATTCTGCATTATATTTAGTCGAAATAGAATGCTTTATTAGTTTCCTTACAGAATTTTTGTGCCATAATCTACCACAACACGAACAAAGATGATTGTATCCTTCCTTGGTGTTATCAAAATATTTTCGTTTAACATTATCCCAATCATTAATAGAATTACAACGCGCCGATTGTCGAGCTCTGGTGTCTCTAGCTCATTCAATTTGTGAATAATGTGGATCTTCGCGAGCTATTTGGTGAGCCTGGGTATCACGCCGTTGCTCTATATCACGGAAGACTGGGTTTTCCCGAGCTATGCGGTGAGCCTGCGTGTCTCGCTGCTGTTCTGTATCCCGGAAGATAGGGTTTTCACGAGCTACACGTTGCGTTGTTGCTCTGCCTGTCTAATGACGGGAATCTGACGAGTGGCCCTGTGGCTCTCAGTGTTTCGTATTTGCTTAGTCTGTGTGTAATCAGTACTTTTTCTTCTACGTTTGGCTTGGCCGGTACCCAGTATGTTCGTTGTTGGCATGTCCTAATGTAGGACTTGGTTTTTCTTGAGTACTATACGTAAGTGCTAAACAGTCAATGGTCTGGATATCAGTAGTCGGATTTTTGTCTTTCTGTGATTCATCTGTAAATGTTGGACTTTCAATTATCTGCGTACTACCTGTAAACGATGGACTTTCAAGTATCTGCGTACTACTTGTAAACGTTGGACTTTCAAATATCTGCGTATTATCTGTAAATGTGGGATATTCAATGTTTTTCTTGTTATTAACGTTTTGACTTTCAGTTTCTTGAGACTGTGTCTTTTGAGACCTTTTGTTTTTTTTTTCTTTTCGGCATCCTTAATTTTACATTTTTCTTTCTTTGCTAGTATATTAAGGAACAAATTTGCTGGTGGCCGGCCAGCTCTTCTTGCGGTGTTAGTTGATGGGAAAAGTTCTAATACACCTCGAGATAACATATCAAACAAATGACGTCGCATGTCCTCGGCAATGAAATTGATACAGGATGGATTAACTCTCAAAGCTAAAGTGGTGGCGAAACAAATGGCGAATAGCCCACACTCAATACTATTATTTGGTTGATGTTGGACACTAGGGTATTGCATTTTATTATTATTCTAGTATGGGAATAGTGCGTTAACGTAAACGTGCTGCGAATGACTTAAACTATTATATAAACTATCATAGACCCGTATACCCCATATTCCATTGATGTAATAAATGCAAATCCAATGCCCCACAAACCCCACTTCTCCGCCATATATAATTTGTAAATGAGACTCGTTTTGAGGCACAGGCTCTATTAGTTCCGGATAAAGAAAAAGAGACACTTCTCTTGCCGAAACGATGTGTGTTGGGCTAACAAATCATGAAAGGCGCGCACAGCGTCGTCCTCAACATGATTATTACTGTTCAAAATATACGAGAACATTTTAATACCGGACATTAAGTAATTATACACAAGTGTTCAATGTAACTATACTGTATAGGCAACACTATGTATTTTAACAAACTAGCCCACTTCAAATCGTAATTAGCTAGGAGTTGTACGTATCAAGTAGTTTTATGAAGTTTTATGTAGTTATAAGATACCACCAATGCCAAGGGGAGACCAACCGAACAATTCGATAATACCCGACCGATTAGGAATTGGGTTACTAATTAATACATAGACGTTCCAGAAGTTTTCGGTTGTAATTTTGGATGCGAGAACCGATTTTAATAATTCTTTTTTTTGTTTGAAAAAAAAAGATACGTTCAGGATAATAAAATATGTAAACGAAGTTAAAAAAAAAACGCTTGCATATACGATTATACTACAAACTTAGTCCAGAAATTATTTTGTACAACTTTTTGTCTTTTTTGTACAAAAACTGTTATTTCCATCCAAGTTCAAATAGATTTTCCTAGAAAGTCCTTATAAAGTTCTAATTTTCAGATTTTTTTCATATTTTCTAAACTTATGGTTCAAAAGTTAGAGGGGGGGGGGCACATTGTTTTTTACTTTTGGAGCGATTATTTCCGAAATTATTGACATTATCAAAAAAACGATTGTAGTAAACCCTTATTCATTTTTAAATACCTTTCCAACAATATATCACACATTAGGGTTGAAATTAAAAAAAAATCACTTCCCACTTTACATATAGGGGGGCTGCCCTAATAAAACATTTTTTTCCAATTTTTATTTTACCACTTTGTCGGCGTGATTGATACACATATTGGTACCAAATTTCAGTTTTATAGTGCTAACGGTCGCAGAGATTAAGCGAGGACGGACAGACAGACATGGCGAAACTATAAGGGTTCCTAGTTGACTACGGAACCCTAAAAAAAGTCTAAATTTACAAAAGATGGCTTTACACTCCATATGTCGAAGTCGAATCGAGTAAATAATATTACATTCATTTGATTCCAGAAATATCCAAATTTGAGACTATTTTACAGAGGTTTACTATTGCAATCCACGTGACAACTGTAGGGTTAGTGTTTAATCCTTCTGATAGTCTGTATTTCCAATTACATCAAATGTAAAGCTTTCCACCTTTTTTTTAAAGTGGTATATAAAACGAATACAGTTTCGAATTGAAATATTTACCTTAAGTAAACTGAGGCTAGTTTATTATTATTTAAAAAAAGTCAATGGCATTTTTTATTTTAATAGAATTTTTATCAAATTTTTTTTTAATTAATATTGCAGAAGTAAATTAAAATGTCGATGCTCTTTGCTTGTTACGTAATTAAAATCCAAATAATTCATGTTTTTAGAATAATTCTCAAGGAGAGAGAACTAAATAAAAATGAAAAACAAACTATTAAGGAAAATAATCAATATATTGCTGTAGTTGTAATATGGCTACAACACAAATGGGTCAGCTCGAGCTGGGAAAGACCACTGTCGTAAGGCTGCATCGTAAAATAGCTGCATAAAGCCGCTGAGTTGACTTGGTTAGTGGCGCAAACTGAAGACCCCGTTTACTGGTAACGAGGCATTCAAACTTTTATACTTAGGGGTGGCCATATCTAAGCCTTCTCAGGTATGGCTAACCATCAATATCCTTATATGGGAGAGGAGTAGTCCCCTCCAGGGCGGCCGGCGTTGGTGGGGCCGCAGATGTGTACGAAAGTATTCCCGTGGCCCTGCCAATATGCGACGATAGTGGAACACTCTGGGGTTTTGCTGGTGCGAAATCCGACATATGCCGTCTTTGCCGTATGCGTAGGCCCTTCCCCATCAAAAAAAGGGGTTGCTTTTTTACTTAAATGCATTTTGCTTACCATTGTGTGAACTTTATGCTCGTTTTTGTATAAAAATACTTAGAGAAAATAACATTTATAGATAGAAATATTTTATTTTACTTTTACTAAATTTTTGAGCAGTCAGCAGTAGGTATGTTTGTAAATTAAAAATTATAACCTTTTTTTATTTACTTGATCTTATTTAAGTTTGTCACCACTCATTGTCTTTTAATTAATGGCCTGTCTAAGACATAACATGGCTACTGTTCATCCCAGGTAATAATTTAAGATCATATAATTACCGGTTCATCTTGTGTAATAAAATGTCAATTTATCATTTGTTTTGTGACTGAAACATACAACTTTATACTGAACCCAAGCAAGCTAAGTATTAATTATGTAATCGCTTTAACATATAAGTAACATTATGTTGTCACTTGGTGAAGCATCATCAGTATTTTTATGAATGTACGTGTCTCACTAACACTTATTATAATTTATTAACAGTAAAGAAAACCGACCGGCATCGTCTCACGGCATCGTCAGGTCATATCATCAGAAATCCTTTTATTAAGCATTCTAATAGCATATTTCGTTAATAAGAGGACTTAATATATACGATCTTTTAATAAATAATGAAGAAACTAAAAGTAATGTAAAGTACACTTGAAAAAAAAACTTTACTGGCTCATTTGTAGGGTTTTTTCCCGAGATACGCATTTTTCAGATATAATGGTAAAACAAAAATGTATATGTTACAAAATAGAATAGCGAAACTTTTAATCATTTAAGCTCAATTTAATTAGTCGATTTAAAAAACAAGAAAATAGGGTATTCGACGAGTATTTTTACTTTTTAGTATGTATCTTTACTTTTTGGTATGTTCACCGATTTCTCGAAAATGGCTAAATCGATTTTAATAATTTATCTTTTATTAAATGTATGTATATACCATCAGGGGTGGTCCCAGGGGGAAGTTTTTATAATTTGTTATTGTTTTTAAAAACTTGACGCAACACATCGGTTATCGCATACGCGCACCTAAACTGATCCGTAGAAGATAATCAGACCTCCCATCAAGGATAGGTAGCAAAAAAAGTGTAGCATCTCATCCACATCAACTGAAAAACCTTTAAAAAAAACATTAAGAACAGTTCATATCTTCGCAAACTAACTTTTTCAATACTTATACCGCCATTTTCGTTATTATTTTGTGCAGTAGGATAAGATACCAATTTAGGATCACATCAGCAGCTTTACTTAGGTGATCAATTAATCGAGTTATCTCCTGGTCACCGCTGTGTAATCGATAGTCACAGACGTAAAGGATTTGCCAATACCTGTACCTACCAACACTCAGATTTTGAAAAAAGAGGGATCTTCAATGTGACGGATACGTTAGGAGCAGATGTCATTTTGGACGTACACACAGACTCCGGCACGTAGATGGAATGTGTGCTCCAGGAAGAATCCCGGATAGCCAAGGTACGCCGCATTCAATGGATATCTAATTTGTGTCTTCGTCAAGAATAGTAGCTGCGGCTTCTCAGTCTCGAGATGGTTATGGACTGCGCTGAGATTTAAATGCAATCCTCGAATATTAGTAAGGTTCATGGATAGCTAACTCACTAATGGGGTTGGCCGGTGAAAACTTTTTTCTAGAGGGCGCCAGCATAGCTTTCACCTGTCAAAGTCGCGTGCTTGGTTTGTGTTTATCTCAATTACTTTAATAAGTTTAATTACTAAAGGAAAAGGATTATAATTTATTACATTATGTATATGACATGGCGGGTATGTGAATTAAAATCTGAACTAAAGAAGCGAGGTGCGTCTTTACGGGGAAGAAAAGCAGATCTAGTGGAAAGGTAAATATATTATATCTTCTTTCTTTATCTTCTCATTATTTATCCTTGAATACATAACATTACTCATTTACTTTACTTTAACACGTTTATCGGAAGTTATACCATTTACCCCTTTAAAAAGAAGTACGATCTTATCTTAAAGATTCTTTATATACTTACATAATACTGACGTTTAAAGATGGTATACTTATTATTTTTTCTCAGATTAGAGTTATATGACCAAAATTTTAATTTTGGGAACACCGAGAATCAGGATGAAGAAGATCTTACAATGAACCTTCCAGAGTCCAACACATATCGAGATATAAATAGCTGCACTTTCTTACCACCTCTAACAAAAATGCATATTAGAAATTATTTTTTCTGGTAAGTTTGTTCTTCATAATAATCATATAAAATTACTCAAAATACATAATATATAAGTTAATAAAATTTCTTTTATATTTTATTCTCATTATACTCACTAGAAGTAGGTTTTGGTTTTTGTTAACAATAAGGTTGGCGTGCAGGTTGTTAGTCACTATAATAAAAAATGATTATAGGTTCGAGATGCAATTATATATTATTATATTTTATTTGTTACAGTGCTGATAAGAAACTTGATAAGGCTAAATCTTTATATGAGTCTCGATACCTCATCCTTGCAAGAGCTTCAACTGTTGGTGACTCTACTTTTGTAAAAGGCTATTGCAAAAAAGACTATGAGAGCTTTACAGTATGAAGTAGATTTTAAAATTCATAAAAATGGAACACCTCAGGAATCACACTGTGAGTGTCCAGCTGGAAGTGGCATAGAGGCAAAGTGCAAGCATGTTGCTGTGCTTTTAACTGGAATTGAACACATGGCGCATCACAAAGTTATATTATTGCATCAAGTTAATATACCACTGAAAGGCAACTTGTCACAAAGGTTGCAGACATTTCATATGCCCAAAACTCCATTTACAGCATCTCCTATAGCTGCACACAAGTTACCTAAGAAAAAAAAATAGTAAAAGGTTTAGTCCGTACCCTATTCACATGATTGACAAAGAGAGTTACAACAATAAAATTTGTAATATAATTTTAAATTATCCAAATTATACAATGCCTCCGAAACATTTATATGAACCAGCAAATCCCTATGCCATCATAGCAGATCATGCCTACATATCCTCCAACCCTGATGATAAAATTTTAAAACATTATTAAATGTTAATGAAGAATCTAAAAAAATATTGAGAAAATAACAAGAGGACAAAAAACAATTCAATGTGGTGTGAAGAAAAAAAAACACAGAATAACTGCCTGCAATTTTCATACAGTTTGCCATCTTAAAGCCTCTTCAAAACTTAGTTACTGCAAACAACTTTTTAGTAAAAAACCCTTTTCATCTAGAGAATGACCCACAACACATGGAATCTTGAATGAACCAATAGCCCTAAATGAGTATCAGTCTAAGTTTGAATTAAATATTGAACCTTCTGGGTTATTTATTAGCAAGTAGAGACCATATTTGGGTGCTACACTGGTTGGTCTACTGGGAAATGATACCATTATCGAAATAAAATGTCCATTTTCCACAAGAAACAATATCATTACTCCAGCAACTGTGCCCTATCTGGTAAATGACCCTTTAAATAAAAAGATGCTATTAAAAAAACTAGTCCAATCTACTATCAAATCCAGGGTCAGTTGTATTGCACAAATAGGATTTACTGTAATTTAATTATTTATGCATATAAAGACATGAAAGTTTTTTATATTACTAGAGATGATCATTTTATTTCAGAAATGATAGAAAAGTTGGATGACTTTTAGAATAATTATTTTAAAAGCATAATTATAAATAACTATTTGTATAATAATTACGATTTAATAAAAAAACAAAATTGAATGTTTTCAATTTGGTTGTTATTAAAAATCTATTATTTTTATTTTTATATAAGTGTTACTTAAGTTTAATAAATATAAGTAAAAAAAAATAATGGAAAAAGCTAAAAATTGGCCTTCAATAAGAAATATATAAATATTATATTCTATTCTTTCTATTTATTGTACATTTTTATACACTGATTTTTGTAAAATAAATTGTCTTGTTAAAAGAAAAAGGGTGAAGTTTGTGATAATAGCAAGACATAACCATTTCATATTTTTTTGTTATTGGTATTTATCTGAACTATAATAAGGAAGGTTCTTTTTTATTTACATGATATAGACTCGATTTTTTTTTTCAATAGATTAGGGACAGCGGCTGGGTTCTTGAGCACTGACTAACAAACCTATCTTCGCTTTCTAAACATCTCTGAACAATAGTTTCGACTGTATTGATAATTTAACTATCAAGGAGTAAAGAAAAAGAGTGACTATATCTGTGTATTTTTATTTACAATATTTTAAAATTACATAACATAAAACAAATGAAAAATATTTCCGATGCCAAAGGAACATAGAACGAGAAAAGTGGTGTCTGTTGTATTTTATAGGTTTTTGTAAGGCCTACAAGCCTTTCTATGAGTACCCTCTGACTTGCAAGTCTGATCATTTTTTAATACTGCAACTAATAACTGTGATTTACCTCTCAAGAAAGTAGGTATGTTGACTGCAATATTTTTTTGAGCAAACAAGTCTTGCACATTAAACCCTCTATCTGCCATTATATCGCCCCCATCACCTCACAAATTTAACAATGAGCTACGTTCAATCATTTGCCGGTCACTGATTGCTCCCCCATAGCCTTCATAACAATAAGAAAGGAGACCGCCTGGTGTATAGCCCACCAAAAAATTTATAGTGTTGGTATTTTTATAAGTGCTGTAAATGGTTTTCTGGGATGTAGGATTGCTAGGTTTAGCAATAAGCACTTCTGTTGAATCAATAATTATTCTTGTTTTGCTACTTTCATCTTTAAATATTTAAGGCATATAGTAATGTACTAAATCACGTCGAGGCCAGATATCAATCATTGACCATAATTTATGTACAAAGTGAATCCAAGTAACTATTATGTTTGAAACCTCGGTTTTGCTTATATTGAATATTTTAGCTATTTCGTAATCAGGTTTATTGCGTCTGAGCTTAATAAGTAATATAAGGAATTGATCTTCAATTGAGACGCCAATAACTTGACTCCAGCGGTATGTAAGACTATTGGCCATTGACAAGAGGGTGTTGAGCACTAGTTGAAATTTTGAGTATGATTCTAATCCTGTGTAAAATATGAGTGACTCATTATCAGTTAATAATAAATCTGTAGAAAATATTTTGAACATAACACATGTCTGGGTTCCTACGGACTTGTAATTGTGGACAGGAGTTCATTCCTCAAGGTTTTCTGCCTCTGGGCACTGGTCACAAGCAATATCCAGAATCTGGATACACTGTTCACTTGCGATATCCAGAGCCTGCGTACAAAGTTCTTCAGCAAAATTCAAGTCTTCAGGTCTGTATATGGACGCAGAAGTATGCGCCTGCTCAAAAAGCGCCGTTTTAATATTACGTGCTAATTAATCGTTCCTCTCGAGCTTGACATTCCTGCGAAATAGCTTTCGTAGTCCATGCAAACACTGATGGGACGGCAGATTTTTTCAAGTAACGATGCTGATGTTCATTACCTGTAAATAATCAAAATTGTTAAGGAAAATGTACTTATGTGTGGTGCAAGGTATTTTAAAATAATATCAAAGGATATACCTGTATAAATACTGGTTTTTTGATAATCAGTCTCTAAAAAAGGTTACGAAATAACCTCGAAATTTTTTCAGGCTTAAAATTTACTCTTCTTATATCTTTAAGCCACATTTTTCTTACTTCTTCGTTTTTAGGGAATTGATGTGCACCAATTTCTTAATAAGTACTTACACATCTTTGGCTTGTAAAATACTAATTATTCAAAATATCTCATACAATTTTAACATTTTTTATTTAAAGCTATGCTAGCGCCACTTTGACAGTTGCAAACCCCATTGGGTCCCAACTATCTGCGTTCGGCCAGCGATACACCGTGCGTCGGATTCCGCTACCCTCTACAACCAAGCATCCGACGTAGAAACAGCTGACGCTCTCACTTCACACATACACAACGCTAGTTCAGATCCGTTCTCCATATGATTTCACCAAGAATCATGCCGGAACAAAATAATGTTATTTGGCGACGAGACTTTGCATTGGTTGGTCTAACAAAAGAGCTAGCAGCCGAAATTTTACACCGGAATTGGTGCTGCTCGTTTAAAACTACCCGTTGGACGTGATCAGCCTAAAAACGCATTTTACAAAAATTTGTTTTTGAGTGATGGTTGATTGCTATGGCACATAAACATATACATCTATTTTCGATTGCGAATCAAATGCATATACGTTGTTACCCGTGAGGAATAAGATGGAATACCTAAATTGGTCTTCGGTTCTCTACTCTCACCATATGAAACACAGCAGCAGTAAGCTGCTATTCAACGCTGGTATTCGTGCCAAAACTATATGCCACCTAGCAACTTTGGACTCAATAGAAAGGCGTTATGAGAGGCTTATTGGTGACCCAAATCCATCTTATCAGCCTGGAAAAGAGGTGCAAGGTAGCCAGGGTTTTATCTGCGCAGGAATAAAATAATTTAATTCATTAGTTTCCCTTCCACCATCGGACAACCGGACTTTCAACCAGCCTCACCATTTTGTTGTGTACTTACCACGCATTCGAACCCAACGGTCTTCTACGTCATGAATACAGCAAAAGAGTGAAATAAGTTGCCAGCATCTGCCTTTCCATCAGATTACAACGTGGGTGTCTTAAAAGCAAGAGTCAACATGTTTTGGTTAATTCACAGCGTCTTACCATCTAAGGTTACATCACCACTTATCACCAGGTGGGATTGTAATTAGACGCTGGCTTAGAACATTAAAAAAACTCAATATCCAGCAATGAGCCTTAAAAAGTCTGGCAACAACGTAGTAAGTAAAATAAACGAAATGGGACACAATCGTAGTAAATAGAGAAGTTTGTTGTTTGAAAGTAATCGGATTACCGGTGGTGTATGGCAAGGGATAAAACGAAGGGCGTCATTTATTCTCCTTATTGCGTTTATTTGATCCACTGATTATCCCAGAGCCGCACTAAAACGAATTCCGAGAGCTTGGGCTACTTGAAAATAATGTTATAACGGAAATATACTGAAGATTTAGTTGAGTATTGTATGTTACATTATGTTCTTATTTATAAATAACCATAAGAAAATTTCCAAAAGAAAATGGCGTGAGAACTTATGTAGTTATAAAATTTTTTAAATAATTTGGAAATATATGTCTTTCATAATTTTACTTAGCGATAACTATCTTGTTTAATTGTGATGTGTGATAAACATTAAGTCGTGGTAAGAAAAATATATTAAATATAAATAAATTATTCGTTTAATTATATTTCAAACTAGGGATCCACCCTGGCTTTGCACAGGTGATTTCTGGATCTCGACAATATTGCCACCTACCGGTCCATTTGAGTTTTTAAACTATCCAGAAACCTACTCTAATACACAAAAGTATTCATCAAAATCAGTCAAGCCATTCTCGAGTTTTTGCGAGAATAAGGGAAAATTCTAATCCTTAATAAATGAAATACCGCGTGCAGTAATTTTTTTTGAAATTGATTTAATTTTTTAAATTACTATTTTATATCGTAATTCTTAGTTTTAAGTTGTAATAACTATTTATTACAAAAAACTATTTCAGTTTTAGTTACACCTTTTAGTCAAT